ATAAAAACAAACTATTTAAAACTATTTATATTTTGTCCACAACCAAACCTTTCATTTTAAAATATGAATATAATTTATATAATTAAAAATATTAATGATTACATTTAAAACTCTCTCTCTCTATATATATATATATACACTTTATATATCTGATCATTTAAAGAAAAAGCTAAATATCCACAAACTATTAAAAAATGTGCTCTATTTAGTCCATTTTAAAGTATGAATAAAATGTAAATAATTATAAAAATTCAACGAAAGCTAATCAAACTGTTTAAAAATGTATTGTTTTGCCCTCTGTAAGTGTTTTCAAAAGCCTACTTGGTTACCAAGGAGACAAAAGTTTAAATGAAGAGCAGCTTGAGGTGAAATGTGTGAAATGATATGTGTGAAGAAAACAGAAAAAAGTACAGGGGGAAAAAAAAACAGTTGAACAATGTTCGTGGGCAATTTTAACTAGTCAGTGGTAGAAGTGTTTTTTAAGAGTTTTCCAAAAATGTCAGTATAAGTCAAATACTTGATTTAATTCACCGTTCTAACCTTACAGGCTCAAGAGAAAAAGGTGAAGATGGAGGAGAAGAGGAAGAAGTTGGCCTCAGCTGCTGCTCTGTTAGAGGGGAGAAATGCAGATGGGTATGTTATTGTGTAGTTAAAGGCTTATTATATAGCTAAAATGTTAGTTTTAAAGAGCCCCTATTATGCTATTTTAAAGTTTCCTAATGTTGTTTTGGAGTCTCCTACAACAGGTTTACATGCATCAAAGGACCGAAAACGGTTTCATTTCCTCATAATATACATTTGCACATCACCACATTTTCAATTATTCTCAAACAACTCGTCAGATGATTCAATCTCTCTAAATCCCTACTTTCCGCGAGCTACTCTGCTCTGATTGGCCAGACAGCTCAGTCTGTTGTGATTGGCCTACCGTGTACAGCGCGTCGAAAACAAAAACGCCCATTGCCGCCATAACGACAGCTCTGCTTGTCCTGAGGCTTCCTACACTGTAAACTAAACACAGTAACGAACAATGACATCGATTTTACCATATCAATCCGAGCACGAGTGCGATGATGAAGCTTTGGAATAACTAGTTATTCAACCCGAACCTCCATCGCAAGGACAACTCGAGCAGGACGTTACTCAGTGATACGCTGCTCAGTTTGTGGTAACGTAACAGTTACATCATGAGATTTTGTAACTGTAATTCCTCACCATCAGCATTAACAAGTGTATGTCCATCAACAAACCGATTATTTTACTTGTACTTATTTATTTACCGAGTCTTTTTCTAATTTATTGTGGTGAACATGTGGAAACTGTAATAATAACAATGCATACATTAGCTGAGCTCTAGCGTGAATGACTGATGCAACATAAACGTTGGTAAAACAAATATTGCATGCTTAATCTTTACTCAAAGTAGTGGGAACGACAGACAATCTGCATTAATAGACACAGTTATAGGTAATAGTGGCCCACAGCTGATCAGCAGAAGTATTTCAGTAAGAAAGTAATAATGTCAGTTAGCAGGAGACCTACACAATATAAAACTCAAAACTTAAGTATTTTGAACACCATCTTTCAAGAGCAAGCGGTTTGCGAATCCTGCATTGAACTCCGAGATTTGAGAAGCAGTCGTCAGTAAATTAAAGGGAACACAGCAAAAGTTTAGGATTATACTGCTGTGATATCGTGGTAAAGATGAATTTTAACCACTGATTCTTCACATGCTCGTCCTTGGGCTGTGAAAGAAAACTGGCTTTACCGTCACAATGTAGAGCACAGCTTCTTCTGGACATGATGCTGTCCAGTGTCCACAGGAATCAGCTGCAGTGTTTGAGGTTCAAGTTTTCCCTGGTGTCTGCGCGCGCAATAAGTGGGCGGGCAATATACTAATGTTTCGTCTTGACGTCACAAAGAAACGGCTTATGACTCGTTTGAAAAGCGATTAATTTCATTGACTCTTACTTTTGAAAGACAATAACTTTATATACGGTGCACTTTCAGATTTAAAACTTTGCAGGATGTTTTCATTCACTTACACACTACATGAAAGGTCAGTTTCAAAAATCCATAATAGGGGCCCTTTAACTTTATTGTCCAGCCCTAAATGCATTTAAAACAACTAACATTTTATATGTCCTGGTAGTTGATGAGTATTATATTTTGTATTTTGATAATTGATAAGTCTTGACATGTCATATTTTGATCTGCAGTCTTCCAGTGATTCGCCTGCTTGATACTGGGTGAAGCTGATTTGAATGTTTGTTTCAGGTTGGTGATTGCTTGTCGGTTCCACCCCTGTCCCGTGTTAATGGGTCTGCTGAAGTTCCTAGCACCATCACGTCCGTTCGTAGTGTACTGCCAGTTCAGAGAGGTAAAGCGATTGATTTGAGTTTTAAAGAGGCAGTTCCCCCAATAATGAAGATTTTATAATCGTCATGGTGTTGAACACAAAAGTGGTTACTTTTATTTCCGATTGTTGCCAGGCTCTTCTAAGGCCTAAAAAATACCATATAATCAAGTCAAGTCACCTTTTTTATATAGTGCTTTATACAATACAGATTGTTTCAAAGCAGCTTTACAGTGATAACAGGAAAATGATGCATTTTGGCTGTTGTTCAGCTGAAGTCAGTTCAATGTTATTTTATTTATTTATTTATTTATTTCAACCAATATATAATTACACATGACAAGGCAATAAGAAGCATTTTGATTAATCTGTACAAGCCTTTAAAGACCCACTCCGATGAAAATAATGTTTTTCTAGGTGTTAACATGTTCTTGTGGCATTTTTCTGATGTTAGAGGATATATCTTGAGAAAAATCAGCTCAAAGTTGTATTTCTGAGTATTTCTACATTCAAATGGCTGTGAATCAGTAGCAGACGCTAAAATGCCGGCTAAAATCGACTGGAGTTGTGACGTAGTAACTCCACTGGGCGTCTCCACACGCGACGTCTTGGTGTGAAATAATGATCGGTGATCGGTGATAACTTTGATTAACTTCGGATAATAATAATTAACGTGTATATAATACTGTTGACCCACCGGTATTGGGGGTGTAAGCTAGCGGGAGAGACAGAGCTCTCAGCAACGGGCAGGGGGAGGGTCGTCTCCGTGCCAACGGCTCCGCCCACAACGCAGAGGCGAATTGGTAATGAGCTACTGCCGCTCTGCTGAAGCGAAGTCCCAGGAAACGGCACAGGTTTTGTGATTTTGGCTAAAAATGGCATAATCATAATTTAAAGACCACTGGGAATGTTTAAAAATAGCTCAAAATATGATCGGAGTGGGACTTTAAATTCATCATACTTTCATCAACTTAAACAAATACTTCAATCTATTGCTCGAAACGGAGTGGGTAGAAGTCAGTTCAATGTTGATTCAGTTCCGTTGTAAATCAGGGTATACCATTGCTTTAAAAAGATTTGCATATTCAATTTGAGTGAAGTGTTTTGATAACTGCTTCCAGTAATATTTACTCTTTGATCTCTTTCGGACAGCCGCTGATTGAGTGCTACACAAAGCTCAGGGAACAAGGAGGAGCAATCAGTCTCAGATTAACAGATTCCTGGCTTAGGCATTACCAGGTAATTCTTCATCTCAATGAAGAATATTCATTTTACACAGTTGATTTTGCTCTAATGCCAGGCTTTGATTTATACTTTTTTTTTTTTACACTACTGTTCAAAAGTTTGGGGTCAGTATGATTTTTTGGTAACACTTTACAATAAGGTTACATTAGTTAACATGAATTAAAAATAACAGCATTTATTAATCCTAGTTCATGTTAATTTCAACATTTAATAATACATTATTAAAACCAAATGTTGTATTTGTTAACATTAGTTAATGCACTGTGAACTAACATGAACAAACAATGAACAGCTGGATTTATATTAACAAAGATTAATAAATACTGTTGCTCATTGTTAGTTCATGGTAGTTAATACATTAACTAATGTTAAAAAATGAGACCGAGACCAAGTGTTACCGGGGGGTTTTTTCAGGGTTTTTTTTTTTTAAAAGAAATTAATACTTTTATTCATCAAGGATGCATTTAAATTGATCAAAAGTGACAGAGACATTTACACTGTTTCAATGTTTCTATTTCAAATACATATTTTAACTTATTAATCCTGAATGCAATGCATTACAGTTTCCACAAAAAATAAAATATCAGGCAGCTTATTGTTTTCAACATTGATAATAATCAGAAATGTTTCTTGAGCATCAAATCAGCATATTAGAATGATTTCTGAAGGATCATGTGACACTGAAGACTGGAGTAATGATGCTGAAAATTCAGCTTTGACCACAGGAATAAATTACATCTTAAAATATATTCAAATAGAAAACTTACTTTAAATTTTAACAATATTTCACAATATCACTATATTTTTGACAAAAACAAGTCTTACAAAACCCAAACTTTTGAATGGTAGTGTACATCTATCAAATTCCATATTTTAAAAGAAATCAACATTTGTGATGCATTTAAATCTCTGGATTTTCCAAAAATTGCCATTACCATGGTTTATGTAAAAACATTTTTTGTTGCATTTCCAGCAAAAACAGCTACATTGTTATGCAATTACTATTATATAAAAAGACTGTGAAATTAGATTTTGGTCATACCGCCCACCCCTAGAAAGACTTTGACTTCTTCACTTCTGTATCATTGTTCCAGGTGTTGCCCAACCGGACTCATCCGGTGCTGCTCATGAGTGGAGGTGGAGGGTATCTGCTGTCTGGAACCACGGTCGCTACAGACGCTGGCAAAGCTAGGAATCAGCACAAATCAGATGAGCCTGCCGCCAAGAGGCTGAAACTGGATGAGATTAGTTCATCTTGTGACGGCTCTGCCAAGGCAATTTAGTTTAACTTGCTTAAGTGAGAAGAAACCAAATAAGGGTTGACTCACACATTCAGGCAGTGCTTTATTCTCTGTATGGTTGCATGACTTTATTATTCAAAGTCTACTTTTTTTTTAAAGTTTTGCCAAGATTTGCATTTAAGAGCTACAGAATGTTCCCTTCATCGTTATTTATTTATTTTTTTAGCAAGATGTGGGGGGATGTAAAAGATGCATTTACTTTTGTAAAAGACGCCATCCTCTGCACTTGGCGAATAACCAAGTTTTGCTCACAATAAAGCTTAGTCAATCATTCATCGCTAAGGGAAACTGTATATTTATCGTTTTTTTAATAATGTTCAAAAGGCTTCCAGCATCAAAACACAAATGATAACTGCATCCATCAGCTTTGGTCCCATAATTACACATTTTATTAAATGCAAACAATGCAGGGGTTCTATTGAAGGCCATAAAGAACAACAGGAATTTTTAAACACGTACAGCATCTTTCACGTAGCATGCTCTTAAATGCAGTCAATAGGACATGGGCATTTGTCTTTGTTATTTTAGATTATGTAATAAAGAGAAAAATAATTCACATGACATTATCAAGCTACTTTTTTTATAGACTGTCTTGTTTCTCAGACTCTCACATTAAATATACACTGACTTACACCAATAACAAAAGTCTTATGCAGTTGTAAATGGGTACAACATATAATGCATTCATATAAAGCAGCCCAAGTGAGCACACATAAAGCTGATGGAAAGTCAAATCAGGCAGCAGGGGAAGATGATGTTTCAGCTGGTTTTTGGAATGGTTAAGTTGTGTCTTTCATCTGTTGATCCACAGAGGCCAGTTTCTCAAGTTCGGTTAACTGATGAAAGAAAAGAGCAGGAATTAAATGTAATACTTCTAACTCTTAAGTGATGCTTAAAAACCATTGCCTTAATCAGTCCCCATGGTTTTTTTGTGTTTGCAATGTGTTTACAATCGTTTTGTGTTTGCAAAGGTTGTTTCTTTGCTCTAGTCCAGGGGTGTTCAAACTCGGTCCTGGAGTGCCACTGTCCTGCAGAGTATAGCTACAACTTGCCTCAACACACCTGCCTGGAAGTTTCTAGTATGCCTAGTAAGACCTTGATTAACTTGTTCTGGTGGGTTTAAGTAGGGTTGTAGCTAAACTCTGCAGGACATTGGCCCTCCAGCAGGATTGGACACCCCTGCTCTAGTCTCAGTAGAAAAGTAAAAGGAAGTACCTTTAGTTATACAATATCCCTGTCATGATGAGGAATAATGCTCCTAGCATGCTCTCTCTGAGCATTCAGAGTCTAGCTATCCCTCTACACCCTCAACTAAAAGTAATGTTACTGCATAGCTTGCAGGCATATCAGATAACTCAAATGCCCTTGTAATAGGAGAACATTTGACAAAAGTAGTCCCCAGAGATGCATTTTTGCTGGGAGGTAATTACCACTTTTTGGGGCAGTTGGAGTTGCATGTAATAAAAACGGAGAAAATGGTTATAGTCTACCCACGTCCTCTCTCAGTAACTCAACTTGCCCAAGTCCAGCAAGCAGAGATACCGATAAGCTACGTCAAGCAGAAAAACTGGCCTTGTTTTTCAAGAGCTCCATGGAGCAACGTTTGATTGCATTAATGTCATTTTTTGCTTGCAATGCATCACTGACTGTCTTCATAAACATCTCAGGTCAGTCCATGGTTTCTATTCCCGTTTGTACTAGGAATGTAGGCTTTAGGGCTCAGTGGCGCCATTTGTTAAACTTCCCAAACCAATTCCCAAAGGTTCCCCAGCAGAACACATTTTGGATATCTTTCTTATCTGGCACACCAATTCCAGGACTTGGTGTCTCTACAAACAAGTTCAATCAAAGTAGGAAGACACCCAAAATGTGTACTTTGTCAGAAAAAAAAAAAAAAGGAAAAATGTATCTTTAGGGGTAGAACTGCTTGTCACTGGGGCAGTTACCATAAAGGGACAACATTTTACTTGTATCTACTCCTAAAAGGTGCAGATTAGAGTTGTAATACAGTATGTATCCTTAAGGTACTACACTCTTAAGATAAGTTCGATGGTTTTCTATATAGAACCCTAGTTTTGAAGAACCCTTTATGTCAAAAACTGTCTGTTGCATAATACTTTCATATTTAATGGGCTATTTCAAATTTTCTAGTGATAAAGGATGTTTACCAGCTGTTCAATCCATAAAATTTAATCAATCTAAAAAATGAATTAAAACGAAATTCATAAAATGATCCCATGATGGGAACCCCTAAAAGTTCTATATATGAAGCACTTTACACAATCCTTTAAAGGGATAGTTCACCCAAAAATGAAAATTAAGTCATTAATTACTCACCCTCATGTTGTTCCAACCCCGTAAGACCTTCGTTCATCTTCGGAACACAAATGAAGATCTTTTTTGATTAAATTTGAGAGCTGGATCACTGCTACATAGGCTTCCTAAGGGAGTGAAACTTGACGGCCCAGAAAGTCATTGAAGAAAATGTTTAAATATTCCATGTGACTACAGTGGCTCAACTATAAGTTTATCAAGCGACGAGAATACTTTTTGTGCCGAAAACAAAAATAACGACTTTATTCGACTATTCCTTTTCTTCCTTGTGGGCCTGAGACAAGAGTTCAAGAGAGTACGCATGCGCGAGAACTAAGAAGAGGACGTTCTTCTTCTACTACTTCTTGTTCAGTTCTCGTGCATGCGTCTCAGGCCCACAAGGAAGAAAAGGAATAGTCGAATAAAGTCGTTATTTTTGTTGTTGTTTTTTCGCACAAAAAGTATTCTCGTCGCTTGATAAACTTATAGTTGAGCCACTGTAGTCACATGGAATATTTAAACATTTTCTTCAATGACTTTCTGGGCCGTCAAGTTTCACTCCCTTATGAAGCCTATGGAGCAGTGATCCAGCTCTCAAATTTAATCAAAAATATCTTAATTTGTGTTCCGAAGATGAACGAAGGTCTTACGGGGTTGGAACAACATGAGGGTGAGTAATTAATGACTTAATTTTCATTTTTGGGTGAACTATCCCTTTAAGGTTTCATATAAAACCCTTTATTCTCCTTATAGTGTACTGTGAACCTTTTCTGGGGTAAATAAGGTATGAAGATGTCCCTTTGAGGGTACTGCCCCCTAGTGACATGCTGTGGTACCCCTAAAGGTAAAATGTGTGCACTTTTTTTTCTAAGAGCGTACTGTTAAGGGTAAACTATCAACCTTGACAAGACAAGTAACCTTTGGTAACTCTCGGTGGGCAATCCTGGTAATAAATGCACTGTCTGTTGGATGAAACTACCATACTATACCTCCTTTGGTGTGAAAAGCTTCTGTTGGGAGACATCCTTTTCCTCCCCAGATGACGATTCCTGAGAAGGCAGGCCCCTTTTGTACCGGAGGGTCCCGGCGACCTCTTCTAGTTTGAGGTTGGGGTGTTCAGTGTTTTCACCCACCTTATGGCTTCTTTTGTACCAGGCTGGATGGTAGTATCCTCTGTAAATCCATGGGGAGCGTTTCTCATAGACCTCACCTTTGTTAAGTAGACGTTCCTCTAACTCATTCTTTTTCTTTGTTAGGTACCTCAACGCAGCCTCCCTGTCCTGCTTCTCCTCTGCCGAACTCTTGTGTCCTTTCTTCAGCTCATTTTCATTAAGCTCATGGACAATTTCCTTTTCCTCCTCTTCAGGTGAACGGAGCTTGATGGCCTTGTCTATTGACTCATGGAGACTGTGAGTCTTCTCTAAGATGGGTTCATCTTCATTCTCGAGCTCTATGGAGTCGCCACGCTTGTGGTGATGCTTCTTATGGTGGTATCTATGAGTGGGTTTCCAGTATCGTTTTGCAATATCCTCGTCTACCTCTTCGGATTCCTCAGACCGCTTTTCCTGAGAGTTCATGTCCTCAGATTGCTCGTTCAGCAAATCCTCGATTTGTTTTTGGTGCCTGCCATTTCCATAGCTCCTTTTGTGGGTGTAGCTTGGGAATTCTTCTTGACTTCTGTCATAGTCTGGTTCTTCAAAACCCTCATTCTCACTGCGTTTGTGGTGCTTTTTCTTGTGGTGGTATCTATGGGATGGCTTCCAGATCCGCTTTTCTCTCTCCTCACTCTCCTCGTCCTCTTCTTCTCCATCCCCGTAGTTTCTTTTGTGGGTGTAGCTTGGGAATTCTTCTTGACTTCTGTCATAGTCTGGTTCTTCAGAAGCCTCATTCTCACTGCGTTTGTGGTGCTTTTTCTTGTGGTGGTATCTATGGGATGGCTTCCAGATCCGCTTTTCTCTCTCCTCACTCTCATCGTTCTCTTCTTCTCCATCGCCGTAGTTTCTTTTGTGGGTGTAACTTGGAAAGTCTTCTTGGCTTCTATCATAGTCTGGTTCTTCACGTTTTTCTCTGCTGGCCAGAAGATGACTCTTTTTATACTCGTATGGAGGGAATTCCTCCTGGCTGCGCTCCTCATCGGGGTTATCACGCTTGTAAAGGATGGAAAAATGTCTTTTCTGAGGAAATTCCTCTTGGCTTCTCTCATCATCATAATCTTCTCTTTTCTGCTTGTAGCCTCTTTTATAAAAACTTGGGAAATCTTCCTGGCTCCGTTCATCATCCTGTTCCTCACGTTTTTCTTTGATTCTTCTCTTCATAAAACTAGGAAACTCTTCCTGGCTCCGTTCATCATCCTGTTCCTCACGTTTTTCTTTGATTCTTCTCTTCATAAAACTAGGAAACTCTTCCTGGCTCCGTTCATCATCCTGTTCCTCACGTTTTTCTTTGATTCTTCTCTTCATAAAACTAGGAAACTCTTCCTGGCTCCGTTCATCATCCAGTTCCTCGCGTTTTTCTTTGATTTTTCTTTTAATAAAACTTGGGAATTCTTCCTGACTCCGGTCATCGTCCATTTCCTCACGCCTGTCTTTTGTTCTTCTTTTCATAAAATTTGGAAACTCTTCCTGGCTCCGTTCGTCATCCAGCTCTTCGCGTTTGTCAGCTTTGAGAAGATCCTCAATGAGTTCCTCCTCCTTGACTTTAGACTCTCCTCTTGGTTTTTTCAGCTCCTCTTGAGCATCTTCCGGATTTTTCACAAATGTGGAATGACCTGATCCTGAATTCAGGGAGACATAAAAATGAGCACAAAACACACATGCAAATGACTCGTAACTCATTTCCACTCCATTGCATGAATACATCCAATTATTATTCCACAGTCTTAGAATGAAACCACTGACCCATAACTGTCTCCTCCACCAAACACAATGTACTGAGATTAGAATTTATGACGATAATGTAGTCTGACTGTTTTCACGTTATATGTCCAAATGATATTTTTAATGAAAGTTCACTCTGCAAACAGTGCAATGCTAGAATAACCTTTCATAAGAAGTCACCTTTGAGGTAATCCAATAATAAATCGATGTTCTTTTACCTCAAAAACACATTGAAGCAACACAATACGAACAGTGCAAAGTAACAACGTACCTGGTGTAAGGATGTTTTTGCATTCTGGATGCACTGGATTATCATCAGTCTTGTAGAGCATCTTTGAAAGGATCTGAACTAAACACCGGGTAAGCTGAAATGAAAGTGTGTACATAAATAAAACGAGTAGAGAAATAAATGCATTAGGGTTTTTTTTCCTCATAAACAGAAGCTACAGCATACCAGATCCTCTCTTCGGCTGTCCTGCTCAACTGGTATGGAATCTCCATCTGGGATAGTAAAAGCCTTGTATCATATTTGTGCAAATCGTAATGCAAAATGTTTTTAAGCTTATTCATCTCGATATCACCAATTATCCATACGTTTTACTTGTGCAAAAAACGAAAATTCCCATTGTGATGTACTATTTGTTTCTGCAGCATAACTGTCGTGTCGCTGACCATGGTGCTGAAATTATTTATGCAATGATTCTTTATGAGAATTTCACTTACCCGCAGCGAGGAAAACAACCAAGCAGACCAAAGCCGCAAACTTCATGATGCGCACAGATGTTGTCTGCTGTTAATCTTATCCGGAGAGGTCTTTGTCTTGTTTTGCAGACTCAAGAGGCAGAGACAAGCTCCGTTCCGCGTGTTGCAGCTCGGAGTGCGCGCTGCGTCTGTTTTGAGCGCGCGGGACACACAGGGTCTGAGCTCGTGAGTTCGTGGTTGCTTACGTCACGCCTAATGTGAAGCCAATGAGACCCCCACCACCCCCACTTAAATTAAATTTTCTAATCTTCCACTCCGGCCTGTGTATAGTATTGAAGATGCATTTATATCGGTGCATATATACTGATTTATATAAAAAAAATTCTGTGTCATTTATCACTTTCCAATCCAGGAGTTTTATGTGTTGCGTTACATTAAGCAGGATATTGGGGCAAGTTGTCACATGGGCTTTCAAGTTTTGAGTCAAAAGTCCAACTTCAAATCCTTGTTTTCTCTAGCAGGGTTTTGTGTTAAATTCAAACACATTTAAATAAAGAGATACAATGTACTTTTTTACATAAATATTAACCCTACTGGTAAACCCTATGGGCTACGTATGGAGACAAAATGTCCCCACAAAGATGGCAATATCTGAAATCTGTCCTTGTGGAGACATTTTTTGGTCTCCATGAGGAAAACAGCTTAAGCCTATAAATAATACTAAGTTAAAAATGTAAAAATGCAGAATATTTTCTGTGATGGGTAGGGTAAGTGGGGGACAGAATATACAGTTTGTACAATATAAAAATCATTGTGTCTTTGGAAAGTCCTCATAAAACATGAAAACACAATGTGTGTGCGTGTTGCCTTCCAGTCATGTGAAATCTGTCAGTCCAATATAGCAACAAGAAACGATATAATGCCAAATCTAGTTAAATCCCTGCAAGATCTTGCAATATTATTCGTTTAATTTATTGTTAATTATATCTGAATAATGCCTATTATCATACATTATTTGAATAAAAGTCTCCTTTCTCTTGAAATCAGACAGAATGTTGTGCAACTCACAGACACCCACTTCATTCATGGGTCTTATGTGTCATGAGGGAATATGTTTGGTACAGGTGCTCTGAGTTTCAGAAGGATTGCACCTGGGATGCTGTAGTTGCTGTGGTAACGGGACCATCATGGGGCGGTTGGAGTTTTTTCATAGCGGCAGAATGTTAAAAGAGGCTTTGATTTATCATCCACTCGAGCAGAACAAGCAATGGGCCACATTTTAGCCTGTCAAAACCAGGCAGAGGAAGCAGCGGCTTGAGAAGGATCAGTAATGTGACTTTAAATTTTCATGTGAGACGGAGTGTACAGGTAGAAGTGTAACGCTCAAAAATGCACATTTCAGTCCTCTATATCTGCCAAAATGATAGTTTCAGTAATGAATGACTTGACATTGGATTTTTAAAAAATCAAAACCGTTTTTTCTTTTCTTTTATAAGCTACATGTTTTATTGGTTTTAGAGTCATCATTTTTATACCTATAATAATTACTTAAATCATACATTGTTGTAGGCATTAATCTGTACTTTAAAGTTGCATTGTTGTTTTGTGCTTGATTTAGTAGTGACAAAACATCTGCTTTATTATCATTGTAACTATCTTTTTGTGTTCACATATGCATATCACTATTAAAGTCTTACATTTTCTCACGTTTCTAGTGTTTCAAGATGATTTCTATTGAATCAAATAAGTTTGTTGCCTTTATCACATACAGTTGCCTACATCTGCAATTAAAAGGTGTGGGTGTTGCGAATGTAACATGGCCTTTGTGACAATTCAGTTTGCCACTTTTAACTTCCTGTTTGGCAATTGCACTTGACATATTATGAGATATCTGACTGAGCTATGATAATGTCAGACTGGCTCTGAAAAGCATTGATAGATGTCTTTTAATTAAATATAGCATTATGAGTCTCATGAATAAATAAGGTGATAATTGCATAGCCCTGTCTGAATATTTGTCATATACTAATGGATACCAACATACACTGTTGTTTAATGTTCCAAACTGCAACACCAACCAAGTAATATCCCAGAATTGATCATGTTTATTATCATCTCTCCCCCTCCCCATGGGAAATCCAGACCTTTGGCACGCTTAGGAAAAATTCCACATCCCTATCTATCATGCTTGTAGCTATTCAGCAGTGAAGCTCGAATGCAATGAATTATAGAGACATCTTGTCTCTAAAGCCAAAACCCCTGTTCATAATTTATGAATTATGAAGATTTTTGAGTCATAGCTGCGCATATTATAGACACGATAAACAGGGAGAATTAGATGCAGGGTGCAAAGTACCTTGTACATATTAGCTGATGTACTAATTGAGTAGAGCTCGTATGGGTTGTCTGGCTTTAATCAAATGCATTTGCATTCAGAAACAAAAGACGGAGGCCAACGGCACACGCGAGGACTCTGAGGGTTAGTTTCTTTGATCTTCTTTTTTGAATCCACGGCATCATAAAACGAGATATATTTCTGAATTTGTATCCAATATTGCCGGTGGTCCGAGGGTGGGAGGTTTTATTGTAAATATATCGCATGACAGCTTCCCCAAAGCGCTTTGTCAGCAAACACACACCCAGCACAGCAGATATGTCACAGTCGATGAAACAATATAATACCCCTGGCACAGAAATTACGAGTTAAATGATTGTGGAATACAAAAATGTGTTAAAAAAAACATTCAATGAAAGATAATTTCTGTAAGTTTTAATGAAAGATTAGATAGCCTATTAAGGACAAACTGCCTTAACTTTTTTTTCTTTTTTTTTTGCTCAAAATTACCCTGATTCACTAATGTAAGCCTGTTATAAGCCTATGTTATTTTTTAGACCTGTCGGCATAGTATGGTTTTCGCGGGAATTTGTGTAAATGCCTCACTCGCCTGTGTGTGGCTAGTCATACATCGAGAAAAGTTGCTCTGGTTGCATTGGCTTGGCTTGAGATGGTGAAAACTGAGGTGAAATGTTGTAAAAGCCATGCGGAGATTGCATTTTCATTATTCAACAGGTGAGTAAGATACTTTATTGGACAGATAAACTGCCATATGTAGCTCTCTAACAGTTGTGAGGGGTAATATATTCCACACACATAGAACAAACAAAACAATGTTCTTCCGCAAAATGCATGCAGTTTGGGGGTTTTTCTAGCCGCTAGAGGGCCAAAAGTTACATAGTGTACCTTTAAAAACCACAAACACCTCAGGCCAGTAGCCATAACATATGCAAAATAATATTATTTAAATCATGCTTAGTTTTTAACCACTTAGGATGTTTGCGATATCAAACAGAGTATTTCATATGTAAGCATGGCACACAACAGGAAAATGCACCTTCAGGCTTTGTACAAAAGGCCTATTGGACACATAGCTAGATCATATTCTTGTTGTGAGCATTCAATCTACATCAAACAAGTATTTTATAAATGAAAAAATAGGTATATTAGCTAATGGATACAGTGACCGCACAGTTTGGGGGAGTTTAGGTCTTTTGAAAGGGTGTATATTTAAACAAATAAAAATAAACGGGCAGTCTATTATAGTCGAAGCACTCCTGCAGGTGTGCAATGAAAGCGCACTGCTCGATTATGTATTCACTGCTACCGAATTTGACCTGGTACTGCATCATCTCTCTTGTCCATAAAACACAAATACAGCATCTTATTTAGCATAAATCAGGACCTCATCATAAGTATCCCCAGCCAGATCCATAATTTAAATTAAACCCTAATATATTTTGTTCAGCGCATCTATGCAAACAGCAATCAGTCTACACTGATACATATGTTGATATTTTTGTTGGTAAGATTTTAATGTTTTCATCTAAAGTCTCTAATGTTCACACAGACTGCATTTATTTGATATATAGGCTATGTAATTTGTTCCTGTGATGCAAAGCTGAATTTTCATCATCCTTTATGTTTTGATATTACATTGCTCAAGAAACATTTCTTATTATTATCAATGCTGAAAACAGTTTATTAAACAGCTGCTTAATATTTTTCCTGGGAACTGTGATACATTTTTTATTTGATGAATAGAAAGTTCAAAAGAACAGCATTTATTTGAAATAGAAGTCTTTAATGTCACTTTTGATCAGTTGAATGCGTTCTTGCTGAATAGTATTAATTTAAAACAAAAGGTTCTGAAATCTGAGGTTAGGAAGCGATCAGACACACACAATGACAAAGCTAGACAGACATCTGCTGAGAAAGAGTGTGAAGTTCAGCTTTGAGTCCTGTTCTCATTATGAAACCCTCTGAGAGGAATATGTGTGAGACCTGAAGCATTCAGACAGTCTAGATAATGTCGACTATAGAGAAACTAAAGGAGACAGCAGAAGTGCTCAGTAGAGGAGTTATTCTCCCTTTACCCACTGAAATCGCTTTATAATTCATCCAAGACACAGGCAGCAGTTCAGTTTCAGGACAACACAGCAAACAGATTTTAGTGAGAGAAACACTCAAGCTGACTGTAATGGGGCATGGAGAGTTTATTGAAGAAAGTTTGACACTTGGGAACAAACAGGTCCATACTGGGAACATCACGATATGGACAGTTTTTTATTCACGCAAAAAAAAAGTTCTCTCTCTATACACATGATGCAGTTATGGAGTTGTCTAAAACAATATAAATGCATCTTTATTTTAAAAAAAGATCTAAAACCATCTCATATTGGCTTGATTATTATGTAAGAATATTCAGAACTCTTTCAAAAATCTTGATAGCTCAATATCTTGTAATTTTCAGTATGAAGTACTTTTTCATATACTGCAATGATGACTATGTGAGAATCCATCATTAAAAATGTAATCCATGACAATTCCATGCAGGTATCATTACACAGTAGACTTACATGCTACACTGATAAAGCAAATTATCACCATAAAAAGTACTACTTTAATAAATAAAATACTAAAATATCTTTGCTCAACTTTTCCTTTCAGTTGTTGTTCTCGGAGTGTTCAGTTGGCAGTTTATTTATTTTGCATTCAAGGAAAATTAATAAAAATAATAATAATATTAATAACCTTTTCCTTTCAGTCAAAAAAGTCAATGCTAATGTGTACAACAAACACATAAATATGCATATGAAATATTTTCATTGGGAAGTGAAATGTTTTTTAAAAATTAACAAGGAAAATCCGTT